TACCATCATAACTAATGTGCTGTGTGCCTTAAAGTGAAGACTGCTTACTCTCTTTGGCCACTTGACGATGGGTTTTCCTGTGTAGGACAGTTGGGCATTGTCATTGGCGTGTTCCTTCAGCAGGGCCTGCAAGACAACACATACAAGAGTGGTGGGACCGAAAGCAGCTGTTAAAAGAGGAAAGATGTTCTTTTCACAACACTGGGTTGTAGAAATCTGCTAAAATGTTTGAAATTGGTGCATGACCAAAGAAAAAAATGATGTTCCCCTAATTAAAATATGTTACTGAAAAGATTTGAGAAGTAGGTTTTTTGGGAGTTTTCAGGAAAAACCTGCCAGCCTGGGCTCCAATTTTATTCCAATTACAGCTTAACGGGAGACCAAAATATGTTTCTGAAAACATTTCAGGCGAGAAATAGGCAACGCACTAACAGCACTGTCTAGTTTGACGGTTAGATCTGATTTTTGCCTGCAGAATTTTGTTGGGAAATGGACAGTGACATTGTAATGATATAAAATCAGCAAAGTTAAGAGGACTTCATTAAATGTTACAAAGACAAACACACACACCAGTCATACCTTGATGTGTATAATGAGTGCCGGGGCGTTGTGTATCCCTGCTGGGACACACTTCTTGTTGGAGGGCAGAGCCTCCAGTTTACCCAGCAGGTTCCACATTCCCTCCAGCTCGAGGGGAGTCATGTGAACTTTTACTGCGGGCTTGTCAGACTGCTGCTCTGAAGCCTCTTCATCACTGTCACCAACCTCCTCCTCCGCCTGCTCATTGTCCAGATCCAAACCAGGCGGCTTCTTCAGACCTGACAGAAAGAAACACATTCCGTTTACAACACACACACACACAAAAACACCACAATGAAAACATTTTCTCCATACATGTACCCTCCACATTTGTCCACGTACCAATGCCCAGTGAGTGTTTCTGAAACTCTGGTGTGAGGTAGGAGATCTTAGTGAGGCTGAAGACGTAGCGCTCCAACACGTACCAGCACATCTCGTAATAGAAGGGGTAACGAAACTTCACTGGAACCTACGGTGGAGGTGAAATAGGCACGTAACCGTCACAAAATGCATCACTTCCTGTCATGTACAGCTCATAGGCGAGCGTGTCTGCACCTACCCGCGTTCTGTCCTCTATATTACAGATGTTCAGTTGCATGGGGATGTTGAAGCTGTGCAGGAAGTTTCCTCCAAACACCATGGAGTCCACGGGAGTGTAGACAGCATGAATCCAACCTGAGTATAACAAACACATTTATGTTGCGTTTCTGTTATGTTGCTGAAATCCTTCAGCGTTGTAGTGTGTGAGTGAGAGCCGAGTGTGTACCTGAGGGTATGATGAAAGTGCAGCCCTGCTTCAGTTCAATTCTCTGGCAGTCAGACGCCCGGTCTCCGAGGAAGACGTCTCCCTGTTTCCCAGACAGCACCCAGTTCTCGTACAGCTCCAGGTTCTGAGGGGTGGGAGGGATCAGCCAGAACACCTGAAAACACACAACAGCAATTCAGAACACTCTGTACATTTTAAATCAGTCATTTATTATAGGTTTTTACGACAACATT